TCATGCCAGTTATTAATACTACAGTTTTACTGTGCCCATAGAGAGAGGTAAAACCGGTTGTGGCCCGACAAACGCAGTATTAGAATATTCTTTCGCCAGGCCATCCGCCTTTTCATTGCCATGGTGTCCTTTATGTGCTTGTATCCAAATAAGCGTTACCTTGTTCTCAAACCTGGAAGAGATCCTATTGATAAAATCTACGGTTTCTTCCACCAGTCTTGAGGTTGAGAAATCTTTTTCTAATGACCTAAGACTAGCCTGACTGTCAGAAAAAATTCTAATATCCTTTCCCTTAATTTCAATTTTCCATAAGTGTTCTACAAAACACAAATGGTTCATATTTCCGCCTAAAAACCGAGTTGTTATTGCCAAGAGGGGAGGAGATGCTGTTTCCTAATGTAGGTATGTAGGATTCCTGCGCCACTCCCTCTACCTTTGATAAGTGAACCATCTGGGTAGCAGTTGTATGTTGCGATGGTCATCATCCAAACTATAATTATATTCACAAGGGGTACCTGAAAGTTCTTTTTCCCCGAAGAGGTTTTAATTTTTTTACCACTAACGCTTAATAGTTGGCCGTTAACCTTACTCAATAGTTGTGAGATTTTCGAGTGACCTATGTTATTGCTCCTATGATTCCAGCTGCCTTCTCTAATTAATCTGTAGCAGCTGATAAGTGCTCTGACCTTAACCTCAATGTGAAGAGGTGTGTTATTGGTTATGATTTCAAGTGCTAGGGTGGGTGTAGTTGAAAATGCTCCTGTCATCATTAAACCCCCACAAGAAACTATTCCGCGTCATCAGTTTGGATTTTACTTTAACCAAATTTCACCATTCCTTGTCGAACATGTACATTACGTGGGACTTCACCTTGACAATCGACTTACTTGGAATCCGTAAACAAGACTAAATTGAAACGAACTGAACAGACGTCGCAAACATTACTCAACACTATTCGACATATGATCAAACTTTAACTTCACTACAAAAGATCGATATACAACACGGTTCTCAAACCTATATGACTTATATGTCGACCTCTGGGGACCTGGCCAACCAAACACTCGAACCCCCAATGCTCCAAAATTGCAACCACTTGTTAGAACTCCTTCATATGTATCATACCTCATCCTAAATCGAGTTTTTAATATTCCGTTTATTCCAGAAGTGTGACAACCTATTTCAAAAAATTCTATCAAACCCTTTCCACACATCCAAAGCCTTGGTCCGATAGCCCAGTTCCACTACCATCCGAAAAATACTCTTCGCCGACAGAAATGCTGATGCCCAGTAATGCCTACGTAGTGATGAAGAAAATTGAAAAAGTGAAGTCTCATCCAGTGTAACGTAGGTTTCAGCAAAACATCATGCCAAAGTTTCGACCTTTATTGACATCATCTTCAGAGCCTGGGATTTATAAACATTGATTAAATTTTACAAATATATGCAGGATGTGAAAAAATATGAATTTATACAATGGTAGAAAATTTTAGAGTAAAAAAATGAATTTATACAATGCAAAAAATTTTAAATAAAAAATTGAATTTATACAATGCCAAAAAAATGTAGATTACAAAAAATGAATTTATATAATTCTAAAAAAATTTAGATGTACTTGAAACAGCCCACACACACATTATAATTGTTTTCAGGTGTAAAAACCAATACAACAGAAAAAAAAACATATTTTTCATTTTCCTAAATGTATGAGTTTTAGTTTATGTTTTATTATAAATGTATATATTTAAATTTCTTCTCTAGAGATTCGACCCTGGTCTATTTCATTTCATTATTCTTGTTCAAAAAAACTTACATAAACATGTCGTCTATAAACGTCATTTATAGAATTTGACAACGAATAGAGTGGTTACATTAGTTGGCCTGTTTGATCTCCACGTTTTGTAATTTATCATCTTTTCACAAACAAAATGTTTACTTTACATAAAATATAATATTATTCTGATGTTACACGTACAAAACCTGATGTAACATTGATAGAAGCAAAATATCAGATTCTCTCTATTTCATGGAAATGTTGTCAGCACTTTCATCATCTGTGGTCCTTTTGATCCAGACATTTCTCTTCTTGTTTAGAAGTGCTTACCCGTACAGTTTGGTCGAAAGTGAAATTACACGGGTCGTCGGAAAGTCAATGAAATCATTGCGAACAGTTGTGTTATCTCCGGTCTTCAGTTCTCGTTATTTATTCCGTTCAGAGACGTTCAAGTTGACAAAGTTTTGAAAAGTTATTCCATATTTGCTCAGTGGTCATAATTCACAGTAATAATTATTCAAATTACTTATTCTATTTATCTAAGGTTTTTGGTTGAGATGAAAAAATAGTGTCACGAATTGGATCCGAACCCACGTCGTTAGAGCAGCGGCGTATCGAGCCGAAGGTCGTGGTTTTGAATCCCACTCGTCACACTTTTCATCTCAGCCAAAAACTTTAGATAAAAAGAATAATTAATTTTAACTTTTAAAAAGTACTTAACCATTTTATTTGAGTTGGATGAAGGTGGAATTTCTCAGAGGTTTTGTCATATTTAGTCAGCTACGACTCGTTTGTTTATTAAGACGCAGTATATTTATAGTCTCGATATTCTATGATCTGAGTGTCATTGTTATTTTCTGTTCTTGCTTGTATTCAGTTACATTTGATCTTTTTGTTGGCTATAAAAATATTTGACAAAGCAAACCTAACCTTGATATACTTCAACTTTTCAGTTTTATGCATTGATTGCTTGCTTCTTAAAATTTGTTTTTATAAAATTAATGTTAGTATTCTACTTTTAGTATGATGTAGAGGCTACTAAAAGATCTCCAGTTGTTTTAACAACATTCACTTGATAAAACTCTTAGTCAAAAATTCCCAATGTGCAAATATGAATAGGAAGATTAATAATAAATATATGTGTAGGACAATGTAGCATTAGTTTACATTATAAATATGTATTTTACTAGACAGGTAAACTTAAACTTGACAAACAAGAAGTTGACATCTTTTTAAAGGCGTTTAGAATAAACTTTTCTTTATTTGAAGTAAGCATCAAGTTTGGTCTATCTTGACAACTTCCTGGATATAAAGTGGACGTTATGAATGTTTTCCTTCGAGATATTTTACCTGACCAAATAAACTTCGGTTTATAAAGAAGAATTACTTTTTCTCGGCATCTTGGATGGCTCGATTAAACAACCTCCGCGAAAAATCCACCTGTCCTACTTTTACGGAATTTCTTCAATCCCGACTTTTTCTGCTTATTCCGAAATACATGCCTTATAAATTCTTGACCGCAAACTCTCATACCTCTCAAGCTATGACCATATGTATGATATTTCCAACGACACATTTCTTACTAAAACGGTACAAATACAATAAAAATACCCTACAGAAACCTGTTGATCGAAGTTGGTTAATATTATAATAGAAATCAGATAAAGGATGTAAAAAAGAGATTGTGAGTGAACGAGAGACAAAGGATATTATCGAGAAAGATACAGTATGACAAATCTGACAAATCAATTGAGCGAATAACAAAAGAGAGCGAAAGAGTGACAGAAAAAAGCGATAATAGCGATGGTGTTATAAAACAGAAGAGAAAGAATGTGGAAAAGAGAAAAAAGAAAAGAGGTTAGGAGATCCATATCGGTAATGAATAAAGAATAAGAAAGACAGAAAAGCAAACATAGATTTGAACTTGAAAATAAATAGTTAGAAAGAACTAGAGAGATATATAAATAGAAGGAGAAATTTAAAAACTGTATGAAAAAATGATAGAAATGACAAATAATACAAATTATATAAAGAAATACATGGTTATTTATATTTGTGATGATTTGAAAATAGATATTAGATATATCATCTACGGTAGAAATAGATATGGATATATGAATAAACAGCAACCAGACAGAAATTTAAATAAATACGTAGATAGAAATAAACCATGATATTGTTTTTGTGAGTTGGCAGATCGAACAAAGAAGATCTCGTGATAGATAAATAGAGGGGGGGAAGGAGCAGAAAAGAATGATAGAAAGATAAAAGATAGGGAGATAGAGTAGAAAAGAGAAAAAAGAAGAGATCGAAATAGATACATTGTGAGGTAGATGGATAAATGAAACAGAGAGAGAAAGAGAGAGAGAGAGAGGAAGAGAGAGAGAGAGAGAGGAGCGAGAGGGAAATGGGGATATGTGTGATTGGGAGGAAGAAAGTAAGATAGGATTTGGGGAGATGTCAGATTTGGAATGGAAAGTAGGCTGTTATTGTATGTAAATAATTATATCTTCAAAGTTCTATGAAAAAATATATATATTTCTTGATGGCTCACGAAGGAACTTTCTTCGCTTTCTGACCAACGGAATTGTTTTTCTAATTTCAATGTGATATAATAAATGTTTATATATTTCATATGTATATAGTTAAAATAATCCATGTACCTAAAAATTTGGACGCAACTAATCTTTCTTCCCGCTCTTCTTGATAGTTGGTAAAGAAAGTGAAAGATAAAAAAGAGCGTATACATATGCAAGTTAGAAGTTGATAAACAAAAAAGAAAGGAAGCAAAGATACAAACAAATAAAGCAGTGGAGAGATGGACAGTTAGAAGTAATAGATAGAAAAAAAGGGAAAGAGAATGAAAATGGAAAAAGGAGAGAAGAGAGAGAAGAGATAGAGAAGAGAAAGAGAGAGAGAGTGAGAGTGAGAGTGAGAGAGAGAGAGAGAGAGAGAGAGAGAGAGAGAGAAATGAGATGCATAATTCTATAAAAGTAGATAGAGATAGGTAGATGAGCAAAAAGAGACAAACGACGGACATAACATGAGATAATAAGAGAGCCAAGAAAGATTGAGTGAGAAATGTAGCATGAATGAGAGAAAGAGAGAAACAGACAGACAGAGCGAGCGAGAGGAAGAAAGAGTGAGTCAACAAATCCTGTTGTATCCTGGATACAACCATACTTAATTCTTACAATATTGATATAATTTATTTATTCTGTTTCAGTATACTTTACGCTGACATCGTCGGCTTCACAGCAATTTCATCAACCTATTCGGCCTCAGAACTGGTGAAAATTTTGAACGAGCTTTTCGCAAGGTTCGACCGTCTTTCAGAAGTAAGTAGCCGAATGATGAGCCGTATGAATTTTTATCTACTCACTCTTCCAGTAATGCGCGGTTTCTATATGTAAAGTCCCTGTTATCGCGTGACCCAGTTGGCCCGAGAGCACCGGTCGTCACATCTGTATTTTCAGATACGCTTTAATCTCGCAACGCCGAAATCGCTCCGACATTTTCAACTTACGGCCTATTTTGACGGTAATTGATTCTATAATGAAATGTAAAAAGGGGCCGGGGAAATGGAAGATATCCAATCTACCTTCGTATTGGATCCGGTGACCCATAACCCTCTTCCTTCCTGACAAAACATTATTAGGGCTCCTCCGATTCTGCGCTGCGTTAAACAAAAATCACGGCAAATTTACCGACTGAGAAATTCCTCCCGAAGGGCGAATAGAAAACTGGGAAGGGGATGCGAGACGTTAGATATTGCTTGCTTATCGAATTCCAAACTAGATTTCCCCGCTTCCAGCCGAAAGGAGGTCAAGTTTCCAAACAAGGTGTGACAGGAAAATTGTCAAAGATAAAACAACCACTTTACGCCGGATACTACTTCTGAGTTAATTTTTCATTAGCCAAAATTCCCTTAAAAGCTGTAAGTATATAAAGTGAGAAGTGTCTCTATAATTTTTTATATAAACAAAAGAGCCTATTTTACTTTATTTTACAATACACTTTTAAAATTTTAATTTTTATTGAAATTTCATTTATTTAGGTAAAAAACAAACTTAAAATGATGATTCTTAATTTTAATGGTTGTTTGCATGCTGCACTGTGGTTACTGTATGAATTGATTGTCACTGATCACGTTACTGGATCCGTCTATTCTCGCTGGTTAATTAACCAATTAAAAGGAGCATAGACGGACTCAATAAAGAGATCGGTGACGATCAACTCAATATGACTTCAACCACTCGCAGACCAACCAAATCCATTTGCTACCATTTTTTATAGAAATAATTTTATCCGAACATTAGTTCAAGAAGAATCTTACATAAAAATTCAAGTTTTTAAAATTCACTGAGGGGCTTTTTAAAATTCAATTTGGCTACGATTAATATTTTTAATTATCTCTTAGACAACGAAGCATTTTTGTTTGTAAAGAGGTTTAAAGTAGGTTTAAAGGTTAGTAAGGTAGTAGTAAGTAAAGTTAGTAGTAAAAGCTTAGTAGGTTTAAAAGTAAATTCGGTCTACGACATAAATATCGTCTGATCATAATTAACAGCTCGAAATGGCGATGGTTCAGTTCTGATATTCCTTATTATCTCAGGCTGTTCAACTCATAAAACTGAATTACCTTGGTCAGGATGCAAACCTTCCATACAGTTTAATCTGCATTTTTCTGATACTAGATAATGGAAATAACGAAACGCTGTTGAAAAATGATTATTTTTGTTTTGTCCTCTTTAGGACGTCGGTAGTTAATTTTTGACAATTTTGAAATTCAGCTTCTTCCATTGTAACATCATATATTATGTTTAACTTGCGAGTTATTCTCAACTGACTTCTTTGAAAATGAGTTCAATGAGTTCTAGTTAAATATAAGTTTGACAAGCTTTTTATTTTTCAATTTAAAAGGTAGCTTTGCTAATAATTGTTATTATTCCTTCTGTAAGACAAGCTTTTTCATCCTTGAAAGTATCTTTCCTTTCATGAAATATGAAAGGTATTAATTTCAGCCTAGAATGTGTCGGAAGATGCTTTATTTTATGGATGACTATCATTAGGCATCCCATGAACTTCAGAATACTAAGATTGTTCAGGTAAATAAATTTGTATGCAAAGACCGTTGAAAAGGAAAATTAGTGTCACGAGCGAGACTCGAACCCATGACCTTCGGCTAACAAATTTTATTCGTATCTTTAATCTCATAATGTGACTTACGTTTTCGTTAACGAGATTAAAAGTTTCATCGCCTTGTTTGTGTCGTCTGTTCAAATGTTTACCTCGTTTGTCTTTTGGCAGCTCTCATTTCTCGCATTTTCACTTAATATTTTGAACCCTATGATATTTAAGCTATATAGAAACAAAAATCTGCGAGAGGTCTGTGCGTCAATATTGGGAACATGGTAATGAGATCACTCAGGTACTATTTTTCACGTAGAAAGTTTTATGGTGTTGAATTGTTTTATAACGGTTTCTTTTCCTCCTTAACAACATTGACAAAGCATTTTAGTCTTGAAAAGATACAATTGTTTCCTGTTGTAGGATCTAGTCTTCTTTGTACATCCGCCGTAATGTTTTCTTTTCGTTTGTAGACTGTCGAAAACCTCTTTATGCATCTTTTACTTTTTCAGTGACACTTAAATCGCTTTTCATTGTTATGAACACTTCTGCCAACAAAACGCAAGTGCAACAGAACACAACAACACAGTTAACAAATTTAATAATGTGAATTGTAAATTATAGTAAATAATAGATATACCTCCCAAACCAGCAAATTGCGTTAGACTAACGTCACCGTTTTTCATTTCATTATCACCGTTTTTCCCACTGACGAATGACTTTATCATCGTATTGGTACTATTGGTACTAACTCTGAATTGCATGTTTTTAAGGGGTCTAATTGTGGGTGTGGAATTTGAGAATAAGGCGTTTTGCTATGGCTTTACTAAGTTTCTCTAATGCCAAAGTTGAAAAAGTTCCACATCAGTCAAAAAATACTCAAGTCGACAAGTCTCAATGGCACAGGAGGAACAAATAGCGGCGGGTGTCATTCTTCATTGGAAGATGTCTCTGCTATAGACTTTAGCCCGTCCCAACGCTCTGAAGTACTTTTTGACCTACGAGGGAGTGCCCGAAGACTGGAACGACATGCCCGAAGACTCCTGTTAAACGAAAACTCGTTCATGTGGTAGATACTTCTTTACCCGTCAGTACCTAGTAACAAAATTAAGGGGCCTAATAAACACCTCCCAGACAAATAGATGTCACAATTAAATATTTTTTGTCAAAAAAGCCTATTATAACTTTCCCACCGACCTTCAATTTCATTGCTTTCATGTGCTCTTCGTTTCGGACACTTTTCATTACAAATTTTAAAATTAAATTGCTATTTATCTAAGATCAAATTGTTTCCGCAACAGGAAACCGTTTATTGACGTTAAGGTCGCCTGATTGTTATACAGTCGTAAATCTCAACTAAAAGAGTCTGAGTCGAAAAATCAACTACAATCTATTCTCATTAAAAGAGCATTTTTCCATGTCAATTTAAATAATGATGTCCCATTTTTCCGCAATTTACCTGCACAAATTATAACACATTGTCCATAGATGTCAAAAATGCAAAATCTACAACTGTTTTTCAAAATCATATGTTTAAGATAGATTTAAAAAGAATTGCTTCTCTTTTTTCTATTGATGCTCTGAATAGATAATCATTTTTCTTCTTTGCTCAACTTTAAAAAGTTTTCCTTTTCTTTCACTAATACAAGTGATTGTTAAAGTTTTTCACCTTTAAGATATCTTTTTTAAATTGACATTAAAAAGACAATCATTTACTTATATGTAAATATATTTGCATATATAGTAAATTGAAATTCCATACTACAAAGAAAATGCTTTTATTTTAATGTACTTTTTATTTTTTAGTTTATTATTAATTCTTAAATATATTTTTCTTGACAATGTCATGTGTTTTAATGATAATTCGTAACATATCTATAATTATAGATTGTAATAAAAAAATATATTAACATACAAATTAATCACTAAAAAAAATTATAAAAATATTGTTGCTCTTAAGGCCGAATTTCCATAGCGTAATAAACTTTTATTTCTTCCAATCTTGAAAATCATACAAAATTTGTTTTAAAATTATGCATAAATCGTTTTGTTTCTAAAGAAGTAGCCATGAACCGTTTTAAATTTTAGCGGATAAAGTATTGATCGTTAAAGAGAAATTGTTGGCTGAAGTTAGGACAAGGAATTAAGCATAGTTAGGCTTTGGTTATAAGTAGGTCGAACTTAATATATGTGTAAGCGTGTCTCTTCTGTTTTGGGCCCAACCCTGAATGCGGAGAACCGAAAACAAGGTCCCAGAGGTTTTTTATGATCAGACCTGACAACAATTATTTAATTTATCGATCAGGCACCTTTTTTTAATATATTCCATTCAAACCAAAATAAATACGAATCCAAAATATTAATTAAATTTAAATCTTTTATTACAATTTATTTCCAAATAAAAATACAATTTCTTTTATTATTATTTTTAATTTAAAGAATCTTTTAATCTATAATAAAACCTATTTCAGAATCTACAAACATTAATTTTAAAATCGAATTTAATTCTCGTTTTATAAAGAAAAGTAAAAGTAAATGAAATTATTATTATTGTTATTTACATCTCAAACTTTCGTTNGCAGGTTTCACGGACACCCAAAGAGACCAGGAGATCCCCCCCTCCAGAAGAGAATTGTATGTTGTATTTGTTGTGTTTTGTGCACGGTAATGTGCGTTTGTTATATTCGGGTTCCGAGGCCCTTGGCCGCGTGCATCGGCCTGTGTATTAGTGGTGGCATGCTGACGGAGGCCCAGACACCGTCCATGTCCCCCGCCCTCACACCACCTAGTGTTAGGTGTGGCGGAGTTATGTACGTACTGGGTCGCCAATCCCAGGACGTGAGATTTTTAGTTCGTCTCAAGAACCTTCCTCGGGACGGTAACCCTAGGGTGTGTACTGTTAGTGTACTTATGTCAGTGTAAGTGTAGGTAGGGGGATGTGTAATATGTGGGTGGACGCAGTTTACCCTCATGCCCGGGAGGTATTATTGTTATTATTATTAATTTTTGACCACCGATTAGAAAATACAATTAATATTTTAACATAACTTTTAAAATTAATTAAGGTTTTTAGTTGAGATAAAAAAGTCAATGGGACGAGCGGGATTCGAACCCACGATCTTCGGCTAGATACGCCGCTGCTCTACCACTTGAGCTACCTGGCTAGCAACCTGGGGTTTATAACCATCGTTCAATTTATACAAACAAATGTAGGACGTGGAAAAAAATTCATTTAATTTTTTTCATTTTTTCCACTTCCTACATGTATTTGAAAAATTTAAACAATGTTTATCCTCCGGCCCTGAAGATGATCTCAATAAATATCGAAACGTTGGCACAATAAAGAAAATATATTTCTAAAAACTTACGTCATACCAGACCGCATGACACGATCTCAAAATAATCATTGGCTAACGGTCACTAACGGCTAACACTACACATTACTAATATTTGTTATATAATAATAATTTTCTTGTCGGGCAAAATTTTTGTAACTAATTTACATTCTTCTGTAAATTAAATATAAAAAAATCAATAAATTTCAAAAAACCTTATTAAATTGAGGTATATATTCATTTGTACCTCTATGGTTTTCAATTCATCATTCTGAAATAGAAAAGTAATTTATTTTATTTCAAAGTCAATTAATGCACCATACATACAACTGTTTTTCACCTGGAGTCTCTGGTGGCCAATGATGGTGGCCTTTTTTCCACTCGAAGTAAAACTTTATTGTGTAATTTATAATCCTATAACTTACATAAATCAATAAAATATTATAAAAACGACCTTTTTTCAGTAAAAAATAATTTTATTATTTCCAATTTAATTCTTTTTTGCGATGTTCTTTTGTCGAGTGTATCTAGTCTGAGTCTCAGAGGGAGGGTCAGGTCGTGAGATCACACATTTTAATGATACATTTTTTGGTAATAAAAAGTCGAAAATTACTAGATTAATATCTAGTCGTTTTTGCCAATGTCCCTAAGCGCAGATGAAAATATTAATTTTCGGTATTTACCTACCAGGTGTGTGAAAAATCAAAAGACCATTTCAAGCCTTTAAATACGAATTTTAAAAGGAATCAAAACTAAACATTTTTGAGCTGGATTAGTCGGAAGCAAATTTCTCCGATGCCCTGACTTCTATTTAAAAATGCATAACCCATCTGGATTTTATGTCAGTACAAAAAAGTATGAAATTAACGAAATGTACTCAAACTTTTTTTTTTAAACTCAATTCTCATTTATATATAGGTCAAAGCCCTGCGAATTCAATTGTATATTCTCCTCCGATATACAAGTTTCTAATCTCAATTTTTGAAATTTTTTTGGAAAGTAGCGTTTGAGTGACAAAAAATTTGAAAGAATTTTTTTATTTTCAAGAATAAATTGTTGTCTAAAAAATCAGTATCAACATTGTTCTAAAAAAAACTTTGCCACGTCGTGCAGCTACGTCAAAAATGAATTTGGCGGCCATCTAAAAATATGTGCATTGTAGATATTGAAATACATAATTTGTGGCCGTGAATACTATTATCCCATTTAAGCTGACATATTATTTCGTATCCTATACTTCATGTTAATCTATACTTTCAAGATAAAAAAAAATTATTTATATATAATAGTCATTAAATAGATGCCCAACGAACGCAAAAAACAAAATTTTAAAAAATTCTAGGCTCCTACGGCCCATTGGCAAGAACGCTTAGAAAGCTTTACTAAAACCTCCCTTTGTCAGTTATCTTTGTTTTTACCTCACAGTTTCTTAAATCCTCCGTTAATAACTGTTTACATAAAGAAAAGTGTGAATTGATGTTTTTATTTGCTAACTGTGTTGTGTGATTGTTATTGTTTTGTCTTAATTCATTGTGTCTTTGGTGTACACAGAAATCTGTTCGGAATATCTGATAACTTTCGAACAATGATCAATACTTGGTTTAAGTTCTGACCATAAATTTATAGCACAATTCCGGAGAAAGTTACTTGTCTCTTATTTATCTTCTATGCGCATTTTATTACCAAAAATCAAATCCTTTTAGCAGATCCGAAATCTTAAATATAATTCAACCAGTGTTTTTTACAACGTTTTGCAAACCGATGGGAAATTCCGATTGAAAACCCAACGGTAGGCAATTTCCGAGTCCGTAATTATCCGCCTTCATTTCGTCCCTTCGTCCCGAATTGAATTCGTATCCTTTAGCAGATCAAATTGTACGATTCATTGCTGTATTGACATTGTGATATTCTTGTTTTTCAGAAATATGAACAACTAAGGATAAAAATTCTCGGCGACTGCTACTACTGCATAAGCGGAGCTCCGAGAGAAAGGCCAGATCATGCCGTCCTTTCGATCCACATGGGGCTCTCCATGGTCAAAGCAATAAAGCAAGTATTATTTTAGACCGTAAACATAAATTTTTTTCCAGTCGACCAGTCAAAACGACAAAATCTTCTGTATTTATCCAGTTGAGGAAAAGAAGGTTCAGTCGAATAAATTCCCCATGCACCTTCAGCAGGACTTTACTCGGAAAACACCTTTTCTACCACACGACGTGACTTGGGTCACAACTCGTAAAGTTTACGGGATCCTAAGTATCCTCACTTCTCCGGTTGGAAGTTGTGGGAAAGGTTAAACTACCACTTGTAATCAGAAGTAGACAGCAATTTATTATAGTATACTCTAATCAAAGCCACTCTAAGAAAATGAACTTTTCTGCATGGCTTTAACTTTTTTATGATTTTTACTTACTATTCACAATCGATTTAATATATTTGACATTGATTTCAATAATTTATATTGGCTATTTATGTTGTCCATAGAATGGTAAGAATACATGTTTTTCAAAACTTATAAAGTGTGTATTGATAAATTATTATTTTGTTTTAATTCATTATTTCTTTTGTATACACAAAAATAATGAAACGAATATTAAATTGTTCATAAAACTTCCTTAAATACGTTTAAAAAAAAGAACTATTTGATATTATAATAATAAATAAATCGTTATAATATGGTAACAACAACATAGGATGCAGAATGTAGATTAAACTTCAGATTTCATTAACATTCAAAAGAATCCTTAAATAAAGATTTAAAACTTTTTTTACTTTCTCTCTTTCAAAATAAAAATTATTCAGATCAAATGAAGTATAGAATAAACCTGAATATTATTTTTACCAAGCAAAAACAATTTATATTACCATTCAAAATTATAATCTTTAGTCGTTTCTGATGTCAACCCGAAATATTTTTTTATTAACCGTTCGAAGTTTCATTTTTCTTTGTTCACTATTGCTTTTGAGAGGGTTCTTTGTTGGGCGGATGCTGCCATCTTGGTTTTTCAATGGTTGCTGTTTATTCCTCTGTAACTAGGAAAGTTCGAGTCGGACAGATGTGAAGCATATTTCCTTCTCAAATAACAGATTCCAGATTCTAACATATAATTCTGAGGAAAATGGATTAGGAAATAAAATAATTTTTAACTCTGAAGGTTGGCCCACTCACGTTCCTCACTAATGTTCCTTTTTGAGAAATCTTTTTGAGATATTATAATTCCAGTTTGTTTTCAAAAAACAAAAAAAATAGAGCGTTTGGCGATATGCTAAAGTTTTTTTTCGAACGGCTGTAGGTACACTAACACATGTAAAGATGTGCCTGTTTTACGTTTATTTTTTAGGCAAGTATTATTATTTCTTTCCTAAACCAAAACATCTCTTTCTTTGTTAGTAACGTGTAATTAACATTTGAATACAATATGAATGGTAGATATGATGAAAAAGGAGCGTTAAATCGAAACGTCACTTTTCAAGAGAGCCATTTTTGTAGTATGTGATGATTTGCAAGTAGTTAATTTTATATTTATTAATATTATAAATAAATATAAATAGGAAAAAATATTGAACATTTGTATTGAACAATTCAGCAGATGTCGAAACTCGAAAAAATTAAATATCAGCCAATTCTAGTTCGAAACTCCTCATAATGATTACATCAAAACGACCACATTTATCTAAGGAATTTGTTAAGTACCTGCTACAAAAAATTTTTTTTCCCAGTTTTTTCCAAAAATAATAATGAATAATAAAAAATTTACAATATCTTTAATTTTAAAAAAATTAAATATTTAACCAACATGACTAAACAGTTTAATAATAATAATTATTATTATTATTATAACCGATTAAGGGGTAATTTAACCCCGTCCCGAGAAATATCGAGTACTCAGGGGGAGTGAACGTGATCAGACTTCTATGTTTCTATCGAGTGTTTTGTTTGTGTTAATTTATTGTAACGAATGTAATTTATTAGCGTGAAAGAAAGGGGTTGCTTATAACCCCGCCCCGAGGAATATCAAGTACTCAGGGGGGGGGGTGAATGTGACCAGACATCTATGTTTGTGGTGATGTATAAATGTATTGTATATTTTGTTTCTGTATTTGACAACCTGAGGTACACACGAGAGGATAGCATTCTAGGTTATCAACGTAGTATATATTTGAAATCAGAGAGTCAGTAACCAGATCGAGACGCTCAAATGGCTGCAGTTTAAAACAAAATACGCGCGAAAGAAGAGAAAAAGAAGTCCGACGATGACCTCAGCTGTTTGTCGGCCCATAAACGTCCCACTTTATATACTATAACCGATTAAGAATAGGCCATGCAAATTATCGCAGGGAAACTGAGGGAACGCCTTTTTTTTGGGCTAAAGCTCGCGTGTGAGTACGGCCTGCAGAGAAAGGTTGCTTGATGTGTCCCGACTAACTGAACGGTGTACTTCCTTGGCTCCATATAGAGAGAGCGTTTAGGAATGCCACCCGATAATTCCGATTAGGAATTGCAGCGAGTATTTGGGCTTCCCGTTCCAATTCTTGGAGGAAACGGGTTTTTTCTATTGTAGAATAAATGGTGTCCCTACCATATTTTAAGGGTGAATGAAATTTTTAGAATTGAATTGGACAAAACAGTGCGCTACATGCTAATTTAATTAAATTAAGAGTTAATTAAAATGCCTAAATAAACAGTCATTACTAAACTGAATAATTGAATTTCCAAGTGGAGCCCAGTATTTAAAAATATTCAAATATTCTACACGTCATCTCGTTTTCTTCGAAATAAGCCACACGAAATTTATTTAGAAAAGGTCTGTCCCCCAAAACTTGGTAAAGGTCCTCAATTGCTCCACGTTACACAAATCACAAATAAGAGGTGTGGGATCTCTGAGAAAATTTTTCTTCAAATGAGCAAATTACCCCTGCATTTCAAAATCCACAGCATATCATTATGAATAAGGTGTCATGTAGTTTTTACTCTTTAGATCACAATTCTATTGTTTATAAATTCTGGTAGAATTCATTGTTTTAATTTTAAATTTCTGTCTAAAAATTTCCGTTAGTTTTAAATTTAGTAAAATAAAAATTTTGGCCAGTTATCAATATTTTGTTCATTTAAGTTAAAGTCTAAATTACATTAACAGAAACTTTTAATCTATTAGCCTGGATATGCATTTCTTTTTTAATAATTGCGTAATTTATTAATTAATTGAATAACTTATTATTCAGAAATCGTAAGATGCGGTCTGGTTTGATGTAGGTTTCAGAAAAACATTTTCTTTATCGAGTAGAAATACTTTGAATGAATATTAAAAAAAATATATTTTGCATTGTATAAGCAAAATATCTTTTTTTTAATATTCATTCAAAGTATTTCTACTCAATAAAGAAAATGTTTTCTGAAACCTACATCAAACCAGACTACATCTCACGATTTCTGAATAATCTTCGACTAACGGTCTAACTAATCACCACACATAATTGAGTAAAGTTGATAAATATTTCTGAGGACCCTAAATGTATATAAAAATTGATATGTTACGTTAGAATCTAAAATAGATTAAATAAGATGGTGTAATAAAATATCTACGTTGGTAGATGAATAACATTCCCATAAAATGACACCGAAATTTACTACAGTAGAAAAAAGAAGAGTTTTACTTAAAAATTCCTTGCTAAATTGGTTACAGTAGCTACAATATATGTGCATTAACCTATTATTATTCACGATAGAAAAACGCCATTAACAAAATTGATCTAAGGTGCCTATTATTGCTTATTAGTAGTAATAATTTGCAGTAGCGTCTCTCACTTTATGCTGCACTCAGCACACAACATTAAGTTTCAGTTATGCACATTCCAGCAGACCTGGTTAAAATAATAAGTCAATTATAAGATGATATAACAAACCTGTTTCATAACCAAGTATTTCTCTTACTTGACTATATTAATTTGTTTTATTTTACAATGAGTTCTGCCGTGGTTATTATATCATCGTTATTTTGCTACGGCTTTATCCAACAATAACAGTATCAAATTATTAAATTTATATTTGTTTTTTAAAACGGTTTAACAGTTCTTCACTATATCGTTAAATTACATTTCTGGATTGGTTTAAATTATATCTAAAGCATTTATCTTTGAATTGCAACAGTATAACAAAATTAAAAAGGTATCATTTTTTAGGATTTATCCCGTTTTTCCACAGTTGTTGTTCTTGTAATCTGTGGTCAGGTTTTTCAAACACAGGTATATTTTTATATCGCTTTAATATTAATATTTTATTGCAGGTATGTTCAGCAAAAGACCAATTCTCCTGTTGACATGAGGGTAGGAATTCACACAGGAGCGGTTCTCGCCGGTGTCCTCGGTCAGAGGCAGTGGCAGTTCGACGTCTACTCAAAAGACGTCGAACTAGCGAATAAAATGGAATCGAGTGGTCTTCCAGGGTATTTTTCCTATACAAAGCTAATTTCAGGCTGTTGACTTACATGAAACCATGATTTCAGAAAAGTACACATATCAGAGAAGACGCTGAACTTCCTAAATGGCGAGTTCGACGTGGAGCCGGCTTTCGGCGAAAAAAGAGAAGAAAGTTTGAGATTGGCCGGCCTCAAGACGTATTTCATAACTAAAGTCAATAAACCTGTAAGTATGAACACATCGACTTATGGATGTCTTTTAAGCATTGGTTTACTAAATTGTTCGATTTCAGTTCAAAGGACAGGTCATAAATAACGGGACCCTACACGAAGATACCATGGACGACATGGACGACATCGGGGTAAGGATGTTTTTCATAATAAAAACCAAACGTCTCAAAGGTTCTTTTACTTCAAAATTCTGTCCAAACTATGTTTTCCAATAAGAAATTACCATAGTTTCTGTTATTTTTCCTTATTTGTACTTTTTTTATTTGTTGTAGGATATCGCCACACCGGTGGAAGAACCGGCGAATGCTAAAGATCGCGAGAACACAGACGATTTCCGCCAGCGATTGCGAAAAGACCTGATGAGCAGAACTGGCTGGAGGTGAGCTGAAAATCAAGCTGGAAGACCTCTTGTAGAAATTTATGATCGGGTTTCATTGCCGACCCGTTAAAAGATTTATTAGCCCAATTACCTTCTGGAAAAGCTTTAATAGAATGGTGTTACATAACTGCTGCTCGGTTTACCTTCTTGATTATTTTCGCTGTAATAATCCTTCAGTTTCAAACCCATAAACTTATAAATAAAGTTGTATATGATCCTTTTATATCGCCCCCGTGAAACGTTTTTAATCACAACTTAAATGCTGATAAAAATTCTTTTTTGCAATTTACTTAACAAATTTAAAATTTAATGTATGGTCCCAACTTCACTTTATTCAATTCATCAACATATTAAATGCCCGAAAAGCTTCCACAATTTTCAACTGTAATAATTTAATATATGCCAGTAATTAGAGGAATTTATAATTAAGGTAAGTTTATTGATGTTATTAGACACATCATGAAAATTTACAGATTCTATCGGGGTAAGAGTCATATCGGAACAAGTAGCCTATTCTCATAGTTTTTATTTCCACCAATATAACATCCTCAAGGGACGTTATTAATTTCTCTGAAAGAAGAAAATGGTAAGGTTCAAAGCATCACATGATTGCATTAAAACTCAGATTTCCAGATGTTAAAATATTATTGTTAAGTTGTTATGAGTTGCTGCAATACACGTTTTGTTATACACCTTAACATGAAAGCCGTAAACTGTGAAGACGGAGTGTGAGAATAGGCTATATCGGAGTGATGAACTCATCGGATTTGTTCGACCTTCGGCTCGAGCAACAGGGTAGACGTCTCTTGGAGAAAATCAACCAGAGGAAAGAACTTTTCGGAACGGTAAGGCCGTGTTTTAACTCCTGGCAGCCGTTGACGAGGAAATACCATTCCAGCTACGAGCTACGATCGGAACGCTTGTTTTGGGGAAGGGGCGAAGTACCCGACCTAGAGGAGTGCATCGAATTTATCGACGCCACCGAACCCACGAACAACGTAGACTTCCTCCAATTAGAAAACGTCGTCCAACCATGGAAACCCGAGAATCGAGAGAAACTCGAAGAGGATCCGAGAGGAGAAGAAACGCCCTTCAACCCGGAGAGCCTCATTTTCGAAACGGCTCCGGAAGATATCGTTTACAAGTGTAGAATAAGGAGAGAGAAAGTCGGTACGTTTCCAGTTTTCTGTTTATATTTTCAGCACGCGCTTAAAAAAAGGACCTTCCTCCTGGCCAGCAAAAAATCCATGCTCAGCAAATCCGGTAGCTATACCATCTCGACAGACCCCGAAAACTTTTCCAGAAAAGCGCCATCCTACGTCGGGAAACTAAAGTCAAACTTGATTGGTACAAAGTATACGATGTTCGGAATCGGAAGATCTTCAAAACGGGACCCTTACTTAGAACTTGGCGGAGTAATTTACAAAAAGAACCTTTTCGGCCTCAAAGGCCCTAGAAAATTCACGGTGATTTTGCCGTCAGTGGATGAAAACGGAACCAGGACGGTGATACCCACTTCGAAAAAGTCGAACGGTTCCGTCCTCTCGCTTCATGAGTCATTCAAAAAGAACCAGATGAATGGGATCGTCTCGTTCCAGAATAAAAACCCCACATGGGACACCGTCAAAAAGTCATACGTTATAAATTTTGAAGGGAGGGTGAAGAGAGCATCTGTCAAGAACTTCAAGCTAACTCGGGACACAAATCCCGAGAGCCTCGTCATGCAGTTCGGCAAAGTCTCTCGCGACTCCTTTATCATGGACTACAGCTACCCTCTTTGTGCGCTACAAGCATTCGGAATAGCTTTAAGCAGTTTCGATTACAAAATAGCCTGCGAATAGTAAAAAATAACATTGGCTGATATGAATAATTTTTAACACCACCCTATAGCCAATCAATAAAGAGTCTATTCTCGGGTATCTGGCTTCAAACGATCTGATAGCTTCTAAATGTAATAAACATTTTTTTTATTTTCTTCGTGTTAAATTTTCATTTTTAAGACTAAAACATATATGAATAATGTAGTTATAAACAAAGATTAAGCGTGAACTTTTATCCTATTTTTATTGTTTGCCTTAAACCAGCTATATTCCGATATATACAAAATCAAACCCGAAATATCTTTTACAACATTTACTCTCTGCTAAAAAGGTTTTTCTTTTTTTGTCTACTTTTGAATCTTTTTGAGGTGTAAAAAATAGAAAAGGTTTTAACCAAGAAAACACTGCCAACCTAATTTCGAATTATGTACGTCGATCAGTTTAGATGATATGACCTAATGCTAGCGATAAACGTTTATGAAGAAATTCACTTTTGTTTCATTGCGATGATTTTCTTATTTCACAAATAGAAAACCTTCATGGATCTCTTGAAAACCACACATAAAATTTAAATTTGGTTTAGAATACAAAACTTTTTCTAGTAAGATTAATAGTCAAAACTCAGAAGCTTTGTAACGGTTTACGTAATTAAATTCTTTCTTGACTAGTGTTATATGCTGGCAGCTGGTGTTGATCATATTATGACGAACTTATCACATGGATATTATAAATAGATTTTCAATTGTCGAGTTATAAAACGAATTTTGTATGTTAAAAATCTATTTAGACGGACAGAAAACGACTTTTTCCCTTAAGATCACTTAAGATAACTTCTATGGACAGGATGTAAAACGAGGTCGATCGTTAAGAATTTGACGCTGAACCCGGAATCGAAATGGCTCATCTTAAGCATAAGGTTTCTGTGAAGAAGGATGGCCTGGAACCGGACTGTGAACCGAACCAAGTCAAACAACGAATTCCCAATTCCAACGAACAATTGGAAGAAGAGGATAAGTCCAACTGCGAATTCGACATTGCGTCCGTTTCCATATCGGACTTCGGAAAATATGAAAGCGAAACGGATTCGAAAACAAACGAGATGACGAAGAAGGACCCTTGGGTGAGCAAACAAAGGTATCAAGAGTTGGAGGTGAAAGTTAACAACCCTAGTACAAGCTACGACCTAGATAGCAAAATTTTTGCCGACATCGAACACTTTATCTATCAGCCTGCCCCGAAAGGGACGAATTTCAAATGTACGATCTTACGTGATAGGCGAGGATTTTCGAAAAACTTCAATCCCGTATACAGTCTTTACATTCAGACCGGTCCTGACCAACAAACTTTCCTTCTCGCAGGCAAAAAGAACTCCTGGAGCAACGACAACCAGTTCTTAATAGCCACGGACCCTGACGTGTTCATCCACAAGAAGAACGCCCACGTGGCGAAAATAAGCACCAACCTATTCGGGACGGCCTTCACACTTCACCTCACTAAAATGAAGACCGGTCTCCTCCCGCAGGAACTCGGAGCCGTGGTCTACCACCGCGGCAGCTTCGGAATAAAAGGGCCGAGAAAGTTTCACTTCATAGTCCCCGCACTAGATGAAAATTCGAAGAGGATCGAGATCATCTCGCCGAGGAACAACACATCCGTCATTCTCAACTCTTACAAAAAAAAAGATCTCACCAATTTGATTTGCTACCGCAACAGATCACCTGACTGGAACGAAATCACAAGATGCTATGTTCTAAACCTCAATGGCAGGGTTAAACAAGCATCGATCAAAAATTTCAAAATCATCGACCAAGCTGACAACACGCTGGTCATGCTGTTCGGAAAGACCTCGCGGGACTCCTTCGTCATGGACTTCTCGCATCCTTTATGCGCCGTCCAAGCGTTCGGACTGGCTTTAAGTACTTTTAAGTACGTTTGAGTCCATTTTATAAATAAATATTAACTTTTTTCTTATAAACTAATTTTATTTTTACCCCAGAAATACTATGATAAATAAACAAGGTATGTGTTAAAAGAAGGTTTAGTTTCTTATTATTTGGAAAGACTGACTAATTATTATCTCATGTATCTTGCAATTTATTTTTTTAAATAATAGATAACAAACCAAATGATATATCTATAAAAATTAACGATACTTAACCGTAGTGATGAAGTGAGAAATGATAAAATTTGCTAAGTGAAAGTCAATGTAGAATGTGCGTTCAAAAAGGATAAAACTGAAAAAATAAAGTGTATATTATAAATGTAGAAAAGATAAACATATAATATAAACACAATTGTGTTTATGTAGCTGATATGAAAATTAGAGGCAAAGGATCATAAGACACCGAAGTGTTTAAGATTTCGACTTCAAGGTGAAACCTTCCAATTTGGCGAATTCCTAAATATTTTTTAAAATATAATAATATTTATTTGTACCCTGTACATGAATACTTCACTCTACAAATTACTCTAAACAGAATAAAATATCAAGCAGAACACACTACGTCAGTACTGCACCCGGAGGACATGTATTGTAAGATGCCAGCCAATGCTGGGACTGAATTTGTTATCGGTTCAGGCGAGGAGGTTTGAGGACCAGGCGACGCGGTGGTTAGAATGGGTTGAAAGATTGGAGTGAAACTTAAAGAAGCGGGGACGGATCAATTATTTCACGAAGGGAATGTTAATGTCATTCTGGATAAGTGAGGTTGGAGACGTAGTAAGGAGTTTGGAGGATCCTTCTGAGGACTTTTGGATGGAATACTTGGATTTGTGGGACGTTAGATGGTTTGGTGTTACCCCACAGTTCCTCTTCGTATGTCCAAATATGTCGAAGTAATGTTTTGTACAGAGCAAATTTGTTCTCTACCGTCGTATCTGATTATTCTTATAAATCTTTGTAGTTGTAATTGCTGTTGACTGAGATTTGTGTGTAGATTCTTCCACATTTTACTGTCTTAATATATCCCGAAATATTTTACTTGTGTATGTCTTATTGTACTTAAGATGTCGGGAGTTCTTTGTTGATAACCTATATACGTAAGCAAGACTATTTGTTTAGCGTGAACGCAATTTGGGTGCATTTTTCCTCGTTTAGGTTCATTTTCCTCGTTTTGCACCATTCTTCAATGAACTCAAGATGCTCCTGAATATTGGAAGTGGCTTGGGTAAGATTGGAGAAAAGAGATAAAATTGCACTACGGCCACGTAGGTTATAAAGATAGAGTTGGGACGTATCGGCAAGTCAGCAGTATAATTGTACATAGGATGAGACCAAGAATGCTCCCTTGTCGGACTCCGACCTGGATCGGTCAGACTTCCGAAAACTCGTTGCCGCATCTCACTCTACCTCAGCGGTCGGTTGGATAGGATTTTTAGGAATTGGTTATAAGGAGTAAGTAAAAACTGCTTTCGTTTGAAGAGAACACCCGGGTGGCAGACCCTTCCAAAGGCTTGGGACATGTCTAAGAATGCACCCAACCAGTACTCTTTGCTCTCTAAAGCAGAATATGACAATAACCCTGTAACATCAATGAACACGAATGGCATTACGTAAATCTAGGATGGGCATTATTCCTAAAATAAAACAATAAAATGACGCTATTAATTAAAATAAAACAATTAGTTTGTGTGCATATAAGTATTAGTGATAATTGTGTTAATAGTTCCGTTATTTGAGTTTCTTTTACGTCAACCTGGCTAAATCGACCTTGTTGTTCTCACAAAAATGGTCAAAAAATGTATTAAGTGAAATCATTTATTTCCCTTCCTGAAATATGAGGCAGGTACTGAACAGAGTATAATTTTTTGAAATGTAAACTTGTTTAACTGTCTTTTAAGATTATAGTACAATAATTACAATTAGATAGTATGAAAGAATTTAATTTAAAAATAGACCAATCTGGACGACACATGCCAAAGTCAAAACACCTTTTAATAGTTCTAAAGTCAATGACTGTTTGAAAGACCAGAGTTCAATCACATTATCCACCAACCATTTAATTATCGGTTGAGTTTTGTAAACAGGTTGATCTGATAAAGTCAATTGCTCCCAGGCGACCGTCGCCCCATTTGTCCCAGAGGTAGCTCTAAAATTATCCTTTTCCAATTTGCACAGTTTCCCCGTCTCTTTTCCAGATCCGTCGTCAATCACATTCACTGCATCACGCTTCGCTTCAGGGACCAGCAGAAGGAGGAAAGCTACAAGAACAACGCCGAAAGCTTCAGCAGTATAGCGCTTGTCGGATGCCCGTTGGCGATAATCACCATCGGCCTCGCAAGGACAATTGTTCTACCTAGGTAAAACGTTTTGTAAAAATTTATCCGTTGTTGTTTTTCTAACACCACAAAAATTTTCTTTGCTTTCAGCGATATTAGAAGTCTAATTATTTACGGCAATACAGCCTGGATTCTTCTCTTTTTAACCGTTTTTGCTATAGCTGATCCATTCCCAAGGGTAAGTTCTTGAATTGCAATTTATACTAAATCATTAAATTATTTCATTATTAGCATAATTCATATTATATGCCTTTAGCAAACCAATAATATAAGAAAATAACACCTCACTCAAGAATGTCAAATGTCACTTAAGCGGGGAACACACTTACCCGATGCAAATCCTAAGTTCATTTTTCCATAAGAGTGTACTATGATTACCCCAACGCTATCCTACTCTACGCTACGCGATCCCTACTGTCCAGATTTTCGACGGGTAGCATCTAGTACAGTCGAACCCAAAAGAACCGTACACTCATATTTTTATTTCAAATTATATGTATTATTGTCGTTATGTTAATCACAACTTACTTATTTTAATATAAACCAAATTAAGCAAGATCAAAAATTCATTAGTTTTTATTTTTAAAAATTAATTTTAACGGTTTGGCAGAAAATTTATTAAAACACCGGATTAACTATGTAAAACAATTAAATTTACCTAACAATTTATTTCATAATTGTGCTCTTAAAATTTAAGTAACAATTTATTTCATGGTTTGCTCATAAAATTATTCCATTTTCGTCGAATAGCGTTAGAACAGGATACTCATATTTTTTTTTAGTTTATGTCAAACTAGGTATATGTAATTTTGTTGTTGTATTAATTACAACACTCTTATTTTAATATAAACCAAATTAAACAAAAAATTCATGAGTTTTTATAAAAATTATTTAATTATGATGGTTAGACAGAAAATTTACCAAAACACCGGAATAACTTTATTTAAAACTTTTCAATTAATTAAAGTTTTGGTTGAGATAAAAAATTCAGTGTCACAATCGAGATTCGAACCCACGACCTTCGGCTAAATACGCCTCTGCTCTATCACTTGAGCTATCGTGACTTCGATCCACACGGACCCCTCCTTTTTGCCATTTTTCAAATGTCGTGTAATCTATTTGATTCTCGGCGACAAATGAAATGGCCATAGAGAGGTTTAGTGAAGTATATTTCATTTTGCTTATTTCATTTTATTAGGTTTCGTGGTCCGCTTGACCAAATATAAATGCTTTTCAGTTAATTATTGTGTCACTGATTTTTTATCTCAACCAAAACCTTAATTTATTGAAAAGAACGTATTTGGTCAAGCGGACCACGAAACCCAATTTATTCAAAACAATTAAAGTTAACAATTTATTACATGGTTTGGCTCAAAATAATACGTTAAGAAGAACAAAAGAGGCGTTGCGATTGCGATACTGATTTGTGATACACGCTGTACGACTGTACGTGGCGTGCGCTTGACGTCGCCATGGCCCTACCAAAGGCGTTGGGTAGCATCGGGTAAGAGTGTTTCCCGCTTTAATTGTTCTTTGTTTTAATTTACTTTTGACAAAACTAACTATAGAAAAATGCAAGGAATCGTCAGTAACGATCGTATATATGCTCATATGAATATATCCATAACAATGTTTATAAATCCCAGGCCTTGAAGATAATTTCAATAAAGATCGAAACGTTGGCACGACAAAGAAAATGTTTTTCTAAAGCGTACGTCACCCCAGGCCGCATACCACGATCTCCGAATTATCATCGCCTAACCGTCACCACATATTGGTAGTTTATTTTCTCTTGGCCATCCTCATTTTCTTTTGTCAAACTAATGGGATAGTTGTTATCTTCACTATTTTAACCATTGCACACCTGGGGGGGTTAAAATGTAACTATATTTACAAACACACCAAATGGGCTTTCATGCTACTCAAAATATTAACCTGATCTATATTTTGCTGGTCTCAGAGTACAGATGAACTGCCATCCACCTGTACAACTAAGTAGGGGGGTATACATTCATATAAGGTATCCTATGAAACAGTGTGTACAATTTAACAGCATTTGACACAGCCCGTTGTCTCACCAGCCTACCACACTCCACATATCCATTATATTAATTAATATAACTTTGACGGGCCTGCTACGGTCAACCTATTCAATATTGTGGATTAGGAAATGGCAACCATCCAACTTAAGGAAGTCTCCAAAGGATACCAACATCACCAAATCATTACATATATTTAAGTTTTAAAAATAAATTACAAAAAGTAAAAAAAAGAATTTGTAGGAAAATACAATGAGGTTCATAATGTAAGAGTATAGAATCTAATTTTGTTTAAAAAAAAGAAGGAAAAACAACATTATTTGAATTTTATCAATTCAATATGTACACAAAAATTATGTGAGGGCACTTGCCTTGTACACCCACACCTTCAAAACTGTAACATGTCACAACACCCATTTACCGTCTGCCTTACACTCGCCTAAATTTTATTAATTGACACTCCGCAACCCACAAAAAAAAAGGAAAAACACTCAGCTTGGCACTGTAAGTGTTTTTTCTGAGGTGGAGGAGATATTGTAAGGGTGCAAAATTGATATACAAACGACCCTGGTGGGGACCTTCTTCCACGGGATATAAGAAAAAGCGGGGAGAAGGGCATTGTGTGACTGGACACGAGCGAGTCGACAACGGTGAGCCAAATCCTTTATTTTTCTGTAAATTCCTAAATCCTTGTTCCTTCAGGGAGTGTGCCCGCTCCTTCTTTTAATTAAACGTATTTGTAAATTGTATTTCTTTAAAAATTGATCTAAAGTTGAAATTGTGTTGTTGTTTTTTCTTAAGAGGAATTTTTTGTTTTTTTGTTAACAAAACTTTTTTTAGTTTGTTTCTATCACACGGGATTTTTTGTAAACATAGCCTTTTATCAGATTTCATAAGGTTAAATTATGCATTTTTATTTTACGTGTGTGGTTGGATATTTTCCTTTTCCCGGTTCGTGTTTTCCTTTTGGAAAAAACTTAGAATTGTTCAGTCGGGGACTGACGGTCCATTGAGTCGACTAACAATATATATAATTAAGCGTTTCCCGCACACTTCTGGATATTTCTCGATAGATTCGTCCATTCAAAAATAACCACTCACGCTAATAAATACTTTATTCTGGAAAGTTCCCCGGCATTACAACAGAAGTGCCGTTGATTCTTCTCTCATATTACACCACCAATATGTTTGTCCATATTCAGTCAAAGCTACACTCATGGATTTGTAAACACTTACGCCAATAAATACATTCATACAAATAAAAAGGTAAAGGACCACAAGTGATGGGATATATGCGACGATTCGCATTTATCTATCTTAAATATGCAATAAGCTCATCTTTGTAATCATTGTTATACCTCAGAACCTTTGACATGTCGTGGGGGCGCTAGATGTTAGCATTCTTCCAAAATATGCTTCAGTGTTACAATTGCGCCATATAGGGCGTATTTCCTGGGTGTCTTTCCGATGAGGAGGGGGCGTTCGTCAGGCGAGTTTGGTCTATTCTCGATCGTGTGCGAAGCAAAAACCCAATGTGTTAACTACAAACGAAAAAATATATATACTTTTTCAGAGAAGATCTGATAATTACATGTTTACACAACATACAAATTTCACACAAGTTCATTGAGTGTTATACCATATTTCAAAAATAATTTAATAACCGTGAAGTATGTGAAGAAACAAATTGTAGCAATCTTTAAGTTGTTCGATGTAACAAACAAAAATACTTTAGCCTCAGCCATTAATTTCTAAATAAAATTTTGCATTCTTCTCTAAATTATTAATTGAACATGGTGTTAAGGAAGCGAACATACTGAGCAGAAAATGTTTGGTTTATGTACATCAATTGTTAATAAATATCAAAAATGCATGCAACTAATATCCCGACTGTCAGTTATTTTTATGCCCATACAATCAGGCTATTTTTGACATTAAAAAGTAATAAAATATCATCATCAAGTAATGAAGTAAGAAAGATAATATCTCTAGTTAGGTATATACGACAAGCAGACTTGAGGGTGTAGTTTCTATATATAAAATCATTTTTTTAAATTTTAATTCGTTTGAAAAAAATCTGCAAAACAAACACACCAGCATGTATTAGGTATATGTCAAGAAATAAGAAGTCTTTAAAAAGTACAGTCACAAAGATAATTATTGTGAACGATATTTATTTAGAAATCGTGAGATGCGGTCTTGTGTGATGTAGGTTTCAGAAAAACATTTTCTTTATCGTGTCAACGTTTCGATCTTTATTGAGATGATTTTCAGGGCCTGGGATTTAAAAACATTGTTTATATATTACAATTACATTTTGGATGTGGAAAAGTGAATTTATACAAATATCTGAAACCTACATCACACCAGACCGCATCTCACGATTTCTAAATAAATATCGATTAACGGTCACTAATCACCACACATTGTGAACGATGATAATGAATCTGAGATGTGATAAACTTGCATTCGGTCTGCCATAGAGCGTACTACCATATTTTCCATACCGGTTTTAGTCAGGTGTCATAGATTAATTCCCCATGAGGTTTAAATTTGGCGAGTATGTCTGATCTTTCATTCCCGACCCTATCAAAATGGACTGGTATAAAATACTCTTGCATAAGAAAAATAATAATTTTCGTGATTGAGTACCATGAATATCTCCTGTTCTATTTTTAATTTTTTTAAGTGTACTGTGACATGATAATAGCCAGTTTTGATCATATTAAACGTTGAACTCATTACAGACTTCAACATAATAATTCGATTAAGCTATTTTTAAGATGTCCGTTCACATAATTGCAACAATTAAAAATCTCGTAGTTATTAAAGATTTACTTACAAACAGATTTTGTTAACAAATTTTGTTGAACTTTACTGTGTTTTGTTTCCAGTTCTTTCCTAAAGCAGTAGTGTTATTGAGTAAAAAATCAAATCAGTCCATGCTCGGACGGAGTATTCTGGCGGTGAGCTGTATTGTTCTCCTTGGACTGGGTCATATAACAGACATGGTATTTATATATTTTCACGTTTTCATATATAAGACATCTTTTTCATTGCATATGTCATTTTAGTTTACATGCAACCCGCCATACATAAGCAAAGAAGCCAACTGTACGCAGCTAATCTTCAGTGAAGAATGCCTCTATCCTAGTTACTATCTTCATATGATGGTGCTAGTTTTAATAGCTGCAATTCTTCCAGTCCAGCCACTCATCGTTATCAAAATCAACATTCTACTTATTTTAGTTTGCATAGCTCTTTTGGTGCACTTTTTTGTAGTGTCTAGGCCTCTATTTAGGAAAGATGACCTTAGGTAATTTTCCAACCTTTTCGTTGAAATATGCATTTATATGTTTATTAGTAAACATAGTTTTACATTTCAGTTATTTTCCTGCGGACTTAGCTACTCGAATCATGCTCGTAATGGTCTCTTGGGGATTAATGTCACTGGCCAAAGTGGTTAGTAATAAATAAAACCGCCAGTAATATAACATTTCATTGAATTGAATTTTACAGATGGAATTCGGCTCAAGAGTTTTGTTCCTATGGAAGAGTGAAGCAGAAGAACAGAGAGAAATGGCAAGTGACATCAGGAGGAGGAACGAGGCGCTTGTCTACAACATCCTACCTCCACATGTGGCAGCGCACTTCCTGGGCAACAAAAAACGGCAGCATGAAGAACTCTACTCACAAAGTTACTCCGAAGTTGGAGTGCTTTTTGCATCTATGCCAAATTTCTCTGGTACTAAATAACTCGATATAAATTTGTACATACAAACACACACTTCAGAATGTCAGAGTTAAATTGAGATATTTCTTGTGGAAGTTTGTGGGTGGCGAATTTTTAATTATGACGTTTCTACTCATTCGGGTTATATATTCTAAGCTCACTGATTTTATCTACCTGAAGCACAAAATCAGCAAAGTTAAATAGACTAGGATGATCGCAAAACTTCAAGGCAAGAGTAACCTAATTTACTAAAAATACATAAAAAATATTTAGGTGTACACAAGTCATCAATAATATTTTTTATTATCTCACTTTATTTAATAAAGGGTGATTTGCTATGAGATGCAAAAGAATTGGGCTATAGTACACTGTTAATGAAACAGAATGCCAAAAACGAGTTTTCTAACTTTTGATACGATTTTTCAATTTTTTTACGGAAAAATCGATTTTTCACAGAGTCTAAACTGCTTCATTTAGTTGTGCGTGGTAGGATTGCTGCAGTCTTTTTTCATGGAGTGTAGTAGATCATGCTCTAAAAACATGTTTGTCGTGGAAATATCAATGTTTTAAACTATGGGGAAGATTTAGTATTGATGATTTTTTAATACGTAAAAACGGAATACTAAAAGTTGAAATTCAAAAAAATTGCCTTTTTTGGTAAAATAAAAAATAAACTCTAAAACCAATCGGTTCATACCTTACGAATTTCAATATTCTACTGCAGCAAGCGTCTCACGCTTCTAGCAAGTTTTTCATTGTCACATCAAAATTTAACAAACTTGGTAGATTTGCATTTACATTACATTATACTTCTTTGCTGTAGTAGGACTGACAGTCTAAAAAGATTTTTTCAGAGAAACAATATTCCCTTGGCTTCAAAAACTAGGATTGTACCGATCCTACAAGACATACCATTAGAAAGATTATTCAATGAAGCAATTTTCATAAAGTTGATCAAAATCTATGCTGTTTTGTCATTGCATAGAAAATTTTTTAAATAATTCTTCAATTCTTAAATGTTAGAGGTATATGCAACGAAATGGCTATCAGTTAGACTTAAAAGGTTCATGAGAAGATTCATTCTATAGAAAATTTAACCTTTTTTGTCGGTTGACCAGGCGGGATTTTGTAAGAGACATATTTGTTGGACAAGGGGGTTTGTCTATATTCATATGATGTTATGGTATTTTGTGTAACGGGAAGCGATGAGCGTTTTGACAAAACGAATTTAGAGGTAGGTATGTAGAGTAAGATTTGATAGGAAGTACGGAACATTGGTGATCTTTCAGAGAATTTTTGACGGCAGTGGTTCCATTCTTTTGGAATTGGAGTGTTTGATAGAGCTCTATTCCGTAGGTACAAATAGCCCGGGATACTGTCTTGTAAATTAACATTCGTTAGTGAAAGTTTTGATCCTTTGTCTAGTCCTTTGTACGTATAAGAAGTACGTATTGTTTATTAAATTCCTGTCTGGGGGGGGTCGATGACAATATTTGACCGAAAAACATGACTAGATAATTTATCTATGTATGCAGTAGGTATAGAGTTGGAAGGTTAAAGTAGAGGGTTGGAAATGAACGACGCAGAGTAAAAGTTGTGTGGATACGTTTATTTTATTTAGTTTTTATTCTCCATCTTTTGATCCATGGATGGATATGGTTTAAATGGGCATGTATGTAGGTGACGATTGAAGAAGGAGCAAACGACGATGCCCCTAGCGACAGAAAAAGGAAGAAGAGACAGACGTACAGTTCTGACGTACTTTTATTATTCAATTAATTAAAAAGTATTAAAACAGTCTCGTGGTTTCTTTACTTCCACATGTATATCAGATGCCTGTATGTTTGGGTTTTGATGCGAGATAAGTGTATCGTCTGCGAACGTAAGAAGGAATGGGTAACGATTTTGAGAGAAAACAGCAGTGTACATAGGAGAGGACCTAGGATGCTTCCTTGTGGTACTCCAGGCCCGAAATTTCACATACATTTTAAAAAGACAAAAAGTTTTCTAAAAATGAAATAAGTAACGGAGGAAATTACTATTTCTAGCAAAATTTCATTTTTTTCTGAGAAATTAAATATCTGTCTTCTTGGCGGAGTTTGTTATAAATCTGTTTTTGAGGAAGTATACCCTACCTATCATATACTATCACTTTTATCATCTCAAAGCAAGCCATCTTGTATTAATCACAGTCTATATTTAAGAACCAAAATAAAATAAAAAATATATTTTCTGTAAATCTTTCTGTTTACACGATTGTACGAAGACAAATGCGCCATCTCACAGACTCACTACTGTGTCTTTCAAATTTATTTTTATTTATAAGGTAGAACTTATCTTATATCCAGTCTTTGTTATTTTTAGATTTCTATTCTGAAGAATCGGTGAACAATCAGGGTCTGGAGTGTTTGCGATTTTTGAATGAGGTCATTTCAGATTTTGACGCAGTAAGTTTAAGCTTTACTTTCCAAGTAGGCAAAATAGTAATAATTGTTCTTGTTAACAGCTCCTGGAGCTTCAAAAGTTTCAAGATGTCATAAAGATTAAAACAATTGGCTCGACATACATGGCAGCAAGTGGTTTGAATCCCTCAACGACGACAGTAGTAAGTTGGTTTCCTATAAAATGTGTTAAAAATGGTAAAACTTCTTAACATTTAATTATTTCACAAAACAGAAGGATGATTCTATCACTGGGAAGTGGTCTCACCTTGCCCTTCTTGTTGAATTTGCTTTTGAACTGAAAAAGGCACTACAGTGTATCAATGAGCAGAGCTTTAATCACTTTGTTCTTAAAATGGGTAAGAATATTGAAAATTGAAAAGACAAAGATATACGCTTACAATTTATTAATATTTCGTCAAATTTAGGTATCAACCATGGGCCTATAACTGCAGGTGTGATTGGTGCTAGGAAGCCCCATTATGATATTTGGGGCAACACCGTCAACGTTGCATCCAGAATGGAAAGTACTGGAAAAGCCGGTTACATACAGGTAAACAATAAACAAACAAGTTCACACATACAAAGTTGTAATAAATGCGATTTTCAGGTGACAGAAGAAACCAGTGAAATCCTACGCAACTTCGGCTATGTCTTCGAACAGAGGGGCCTCGTTGCGGTGAAAGGCAAAGGCCAACTGATGACCTACTACCTCGTGGGCAAAGGCACTGACATTGTGCTCAATACTGTCCAGCCGTCTGTAGTGGGCACAGAACTGCCTGAAATTGCTGAAGAGACTGAGCCAAATGACCAAGCAGCACTCTTGTCCTAAGGACCGTAAGAGCTTTGCTATAAAGGCGTTTTTCTTTCCTTTGAGGACCGGCCTCATTTTCAAAAAGATGAAAAAGCTCTGTTGAGCTCTTTTTTTTCCTTTTGTATATAGTGTCGTAGAGTCAAACTTTATGTCAGGGGTATTTTGAAAACAAATAAGCAATATTAACTCACTTTTATATTTATTATTTAGTGTAGAACTATTTATTTATCATGTTTTCATAAATAAGAGGCCTAAAATATTACTTATATACATAAAAATGGTTAGAATGAACAATTATTTTTGTATTTTTATTTGGTTTTCTATTTAGGTGCTGTTTTTCATTCAGTCTAAATTTTTATTTTTTATATTTAGACTTTGCAACTGTGAACAGGTTCATAAAGTTACAGTGGTAGATGACCTTTTAAATAGCAATTACACTTTGTCGTAATATTCATCACAAGTAATTATTTTAAAAATAAACCGAACAATAATTTCAATTTTCTATTTCTGTTGTGTAATTTGTCATGTTTAGCCACAACCGCAGTTTGTAAGTCAATATGAGAGAGATTTTTCTAACAAAAGCTTCAACCAAAATTAATTTTTCAAAACGAAAATGCACTGTCAGTAGTATGAGGAGTGCGTTTTGTTCGACAAATTATGTTTATTTCTGATTGTTTTTAACACTTGTTAAAATGCTAATAGGAGATACATAAAAAAAACCATTGGTCAAGCATTTAACATTATTATTTTTTTTGTTATCGTATAATACGTTACACTCGTATTTAAAAAAAAACAGATAACGCAAATAAATCTAAAAAGTTACATGCAAAATTCGAAATTTATTTTATTTTGAAATAAAAGTTTTGACTTTTTATACTGATAATAAACTTATCACTAGCTCAAATATTCAATTCGTTTCATTCATCAGGTCATACCTGTATAATTAGTTTAAAAATCATCAATGCGTACAAAAGTAAAATTGTGAAAAGTGATGATCGCGAAGTAACGAACTTGCAGGATTGACATTAATCATCATATTCTGCCTTGTCTGGCTCGGATGATCCGATGTAATCTGGCTATAACGGAAACGCCTCTTTAATTAAAAAATAAAATAATAATAATAATAATACAATCATGGAAGTATGCAAAGTTTATTATATTAAATCGATTTTGGATTATATTATTGTTGATTATTGCCATCGTAATTATTAATATCATTCTAGTCATATTTTTGTGCTTATTTGTTTTTAAAAAGTCCTTCGATTACATTTAATGTCGATAACTGTGAAGAAATGTGAGCATATATTTTCTCGGCAAGCACGTATAAAATGTGCTGGTCGTTTATTTTTTTTAAGTGTGATTTTTTTGATAAAGTTACATTGCTATGGTGCATGTTACCAATTGTTGAAATTTAAAATATAATAAAAGGGTATTACGATAATTGCGGAAATATAAAAGACAACATTCTTTTATTTGTTATAACGTTAATGGTGGTGAGGACGGGTACTGTAAATATCAAAGAAAACGTTCTCAATGTGCACTGTTCAATTGTACCAGGCTTTCAGTTTGAACGAAAGTCAAATTTTATTTGATGTCTACACTAATTGCAGTATTTCAGCTTTTCGTGTGACATATTCATTACATGCAAATAATGGGTTTGTTGTTCGCAATCATCTGGGTTATTGAAAACACTTCTGTACATAATCTATCAGAACTTTCATATCAATTTATATTTACTAATTTAAATTTAAAAAAGAACACACATTTTTCTTCTTTGTACAGCTGTAGATTTATTGCGTTTTTTTCTTTGACTTGCGGTAAAGCATAACATATTAAAAATAAGTGAAACAACGAATAGAAATTCGAGCATTTTCGGTAGCCCAGATGTTTCATAGATTAGTTGTAATTACTAACGTGCCAAAAGAAATTTTTATACTTATTGTTAGGACATTTTTTATTTGTACTTAAATATTTCTCTCTGTGTGTATCTAGTCTTGACATTATATGTGTTAATTTATTTTCACCTTTTTTTTAACGTTTTTTCGAATTAAAATTAAAAGCATTATACAAGTTGATGGGGGATATAACAATCAGGTCATTGCTAAATATGATTGGGATATCTTTCCAAATACTCCACGGTTTTAAATGACACTTCTGATTAACATAATAGTATATTGTTAAAGAAAAAATTAAGCATGTATTTTCATAATGTACTTATCACAGAACTACTAGGTTTGTAAAAATTGTGTCTGCAATTTTTATAATAAAGAAAAGATAAATTTATATAATAAATGTGGAAAAAGGTGACTAGTTTTCTCAATAGTTGTATGGCGTGTTAAAATGTGTTAATATGTAACTATCAATGATGGCATAAAAGGGTCTATTTTAAAGGTTTTCTCTAAAAAGTAAATAAGAATCAAAGGGTAAAAAAAAGGTGTGAAATGAATTCTCGGATACTATTTAATTGTCAAATAAACCCTGTTTAACAAAAAGATAACAGAAATGTACGCTTGCTATTTTTTCCTTTGCAACTTGATATAATGATAAAATTCTAAAAGTGAAAGCATAGATAATTTATAATTTGTGAGAGTATGTAGATAATGTACCCCTGTATAACGGAATCCTATTAGCAGTATTTAAAAAAATGTAAATTATAGACATATTGTAATAGAACCAACCACAGAAAAGAATGCTGTTAGTGTTATATTTAGAATATGCACACTATTAGACAAATATAAATGGTAATATTAAAAAGAAATCTTTTACCCCATTGACAATCAAAATGAGAATTGGAACAAATGGTCGTTGATTCTGAATTCCTTGCGATAAAAGGAATTAACTAAAATATTATTTGAGACCAAAATAGTTATTGTTTTCTATTGTATAAGGTGTCATAGAAAATAATTATGTACTAGTCATGTGATTGTAAAGTGTGTTATCCAATTTTCCACGAACCTATTTGTAATTCTGTTAACCTTCTAGCCATTTTTAATCCATGTTGTAAGATGTAAAGTTACCATAATTTATACAATTCTGTTCGACCTTGTTACTATTTTTGTAAATACGGTTGTACTCAACTTCGTAATTTATTATTGTTTATGATATTTTTTTATACTATGCATATATATAGTTTATATTTTACTGTTGATATTACTACAAACTGAGAAAGTTAAGGTTCTAATGTAAAAGCCCTGGTGCTCTTTTTTCTAGTAAAATGTTTCTGTAAATCTACATTTTTATTTTTTCCTGCATTGAACAGATAAAGTAAATAAAGTAAGACTGAGAATGGCACAACACAAACACACAACTCTTCAACTTTTGTATTTTTTTACAAGAAAAAAACACAACCTACTATGAAAGAACTATTATTAATAACTTGAAACAAAACTAATATGAAAATATAACCAAAAGTCAAAATCTTTGTTATATGACTTCTTATTATTCAAATAATGATTACACATACTGGCGTTACAATAAAGTTGTTTACCGTTTTTATCATACTCTTATTGAGGTAAAATTCAACTAATGAAATTAAATGATAATAAATGCCAGTTATCAGAGTATGAATAGTATTACTGTTAAGATTTGGAGCATGAAATTAACTAGATTCCACCAAATTTACTGAGAGGGACTTTTATATTTTAAAAAAATAGTGAGAGGGGAGCATGATTTGTTTAATAGTAAATTTTTTTTATGTTTCATGGCTTTTCATCTTCTCTTAAATATATAAAATAAATGTACTACCTCACATATTCTAAGCCAAGGCACGTTTTGACAACATAAAAATTACAAGCCATCTCTTAGGTTTAATCAGTTCCATTTGGATCTGATCTGTTAAATAATGTTCATGTTCATGATTTATTATTTTCAAAGTTAAATAATAAACGTTTTAAATGCCAAGGAGAAAAATATAATTTACTATGTGGTGATTAGTGACCGTTAGTCGATGATTATTCAGAAATCGTGAGATGCGGTCTGGTGTGATGTAGGTTTCAGAAAAACATTTTCTTTATCGTGCCAACGATTCGATCTTTATTGAGATCATCTTCAGGGCTCCAAGTGTTTGTTTTCTGTGTAATTGTGCCATTCTTGCGTGTCGGCTCTCTCAGCTCGACACGGAAGAATGGCACAATTACACAGAAAATGAACACTTGGAGCCCTGAAGATGATCTCAATAAAGATGGAAACGTTGGCGCGATAAAGAAAATTTTTTTCTGAAACCTACATCACACCAGACCGCATCTCACGATTTCTGAATAATTATATAATTTACTTTTGCTTTTTAATTTCTTTTACCATCGAAGATTGTTGTGAACTTTTTCAACCTATAAAAACGATACAATTGATACAAGAGAAAGAAAGAAAGAAAGAGAGAGAATGTGAGAGAGATAAAGATAGATACAGATTGCAAGAATATGACAATACTGAAGGCGGAAAAATGGCCAAAAATGTAGTTAAATCCCGGAAACCAAACATTTCTGTATCAACCTGATCCAGAAATATGCCGTTTTAAAGTTGTTGTTTTTTTTTTCGAGAAAACCACGTTTTTCATAATAAAAGCCAAATTTTATCTACTTTTATGGATATTTATTTTCAACGCTTGACCACATTTTTAGAATCATTGTTAAATTTTAAAGGCTAATGCACTTCAATCTTTTTCAGACAACAATAACAGACAATGACAGATAAAAAACAATACAAATTACAATAAAGTTGAACATCATGTTGTTGTTGTTTTTATTTTAAAAGTTGCTGGAAATGGCCTGCTCCACGCAAAACACACTCAGGAAATCTGGTCACCACCGCTGATGTAGCCTTTTCTAATCTCTTTAGTGTTGGCTCACATCGCTTCACATGATTCCCGAATCCCTGCAATCGGGTAGTTCTTGTCCTCAAACCGTACTCTGTACACTTCCGACTTAAACCTACCCCATACATGAAAATCCACCGGCAAAGAACGCACGCACCTCACCAGGAACTCCGCAGCTCATCCTGCAGGTTTCTAATTTTCTGCATTGTAAAATATGTCTAGGATTTAGGTACATAATACGCACCGAGGCGGTCTCTTACCCGCCATGCCGATGAGTATGTAAGCCTAGTATGACCTATGCGTAACCTAGAAAGTATGCTCTTTCCCTTCTCTACCCTGTATAAAGCAATAAAACAATGTTAAATTGTAACCCCTTTATTTTTCAAAGGTATCTATTTTTATAAGATATATTTTTTTTTAAATCATTTGTTCTATCGCAGGTATACAAGACATTTCAATTAACATTTTTTCAAATACAACCCTATGGTTTATATTTAAGTGGTGACTGTTTGTTTTATAATACTTATTATAAGTGCTAAGAGTTTTCTGTTTGTTTAGGACTGTTCATTGTTCTATGCCTCGGTTCTTGAGAGTAAACAGATATCGTCATTGCCATTTCTCACATCATAAGTTTTTTGCAACATATCATTGTTCAATCATTTCTGTTTTCTTTCTTAAACTGAAACGGATACATCGATCGACCTATTTAATAACTCTAAATGGTGCTTGGGCAAATCAATTAATTAGTCAAAAATGCTTTGATATTACGCAGGTGAAACTGAATAGATGCCCTTTCATGAGATTTAATTGGTCAGGCAGAGAAATAATACTGAACAGGAGCCGAGACCATTTCTCTGTTAAATGAAAATTTAGGGTACGGGCTGAAACCTTCGACCCTGATTGATGCCTAGGGAAGGCAATATTTTACTGGCACGGACGTGGGTGGGACTTTAAAACTCC